AATCTTTACAATTTATATAGTAAAGACTACAGCGGACTTAAGCAATCCTACATCTAGGCGGGGTACATATTATAGATAGATAATTTTCACCCCATTTACGGTAAATCGACAGGAGTGGAAATTTCAGCCAAGGTAAACCAACTTGTGGTTGTGGCATCGAGCACTCTGCGACATTTTGCGCGAACCGAAACACACTTATATATCCATAATATTCAATGCATACTGGGTATAAATGGATCTATATATAAAAATATGGCGTGTGCTTCACTTTGGGTAATCTTCGCTTTTCAACGGTTGGCTTGAACGGTCTCTTCTTAGCAACATAATAATAAACAATAATACGGCATGTTTTAAAACGCGAAGATTACTTGTCGTAGCTATTGTGTATATTTATCAAGATTTTTAATTCTATGTTTGTCATGCAGTGATATAAGCAATGATAATACATATGTATTTGTACGAATGTTACTGATATAATATATATTTAAATTTGATATATAAAGATAATATATATTTGTACGAATATTGGCTAAAAATTTATTGTGATCTTTTTCTACACTTGTTTTGTGACTCTTTTGTTTTCAATACGAGAGTGTCAAATGAAATAAATGTTTGCGTACATCACTATTTTGTTGTCATAGCTGTTCTACACAAAACGACTAATCGTATACGTTTGTCATTCTGGCGTATGAAAATGACTGCTGACGTCCCTATTCCTGTTTGTCAGTTCATGGCAAAATTTGAAATGTGATGTCTTTACACCCATTAATTCGAGTAGATACGCCAGGGTAAGAGTCGTATAAGACTATAGTCGTATCGCATCTTCAGGTGTGAATATACAGACTCTGACGCAAGTAGATGTCTACATTCCATAATTACAACTCAAGATTGTAGTCAAATTCGTACGTACTTTTGGAGAACATTTGAAAAAAGGCAAATTCATAATCTGAGGAACATTCATTAAACAGTTTTTCAAATAGTTTTTCATTATGGAACGAAAAATTTTAACAATGTAGCTTGCCAAGTTAATTTTCTTTTTCGCAAATGTGAAGCGAATTAATTTTTAAACGATAAAATTACCATAGACGAGAGTGCCTGTTGCTAAAAGAGCATGTTTACTTTTTAAGTAACGAAATTCGAGACGCTTGACACTATACTAAAATTTTCAAGAATTAAGTTATCAAAATAAAATTAAAGAATATAGATATGATTGCTATTTCATCTGCATGTGAAAAGCAACCAAACCTTAGTTTCACATTAATTTTGATGAGTGAAATGTATACGAGAAAGAAATACCTCATCCCAGATGAAACAAAATCGTCAAAAACGTTCCTGGTTAAAATTTAGTAATGGACATAATTTCAGTCGTACTCTTGGTACGTATTGCGATAGGCTTATTAACGACTACGCCTCTTTCACAAAATTCACAAAGCAAGCCGCACTTTTACAACATTTCCGCGTGCGCCGGAATCCGCATAGCCGATTCTATGCAAGCTATATCCGCGGCTCTTCAATCAAAGATCACATAGAACTTTAAAATATGGGCGAAATATACAAAAACTAAATTTTTCTACAATTTTCCCCCAAACGCCCTACCCAGCTTCCTGCCTGTTGCAAACATAAGTCGTAATAGGTATATCAATAATAAATGACCCTCTATTTTTCCATGGCGACAGAGCAACTTTAGTACATTAATTTAATGAAAATATGAATTACTAGTATATACTGCAATAAGTAAAATTGGGCATAGCTTACAACATAAGTTTTCGGCCCTTGTTATTAGTGCTTTTATTCTGCAGTTATTGTTTTCGCGTTGACAAAAACAATTATAATAATTTAGCTAAATAGCATGCAAATAGACATTATTATACAGTATGAGGCCATTGTTGCAATCAACAAGATTATGCTTGTGATGTTACTCTGAGTGCATATCCACACCGGGTAAGCTTGAAAAATATGCCTGGCCACGCCAGGCATATTTTTCAAGCTTGCCCAGTGTGGATATGCACTCAGAGTAACATCACAAACATCATATTCACCTGAGTACACTACACCAACACAGAAAAATCACGAAGCTAATATTGTTTTCTAAACTTGAGTTGGTGAAAATACTCTTCGTGCAGCAGCTGAGGTGAAACTCAGTGACATGTAAATAACCATTACAGTACGAATTATCTCGGCCCATTGTTATTATCAATAAGAAATGACTCTTACTCGACCCCTCAACAGAAGGAAACCTAAACGAAGCTTATATTGTTTTCTAAACTTGAGTTGTGTTCACAACAGGCTTGTGGTAAGCTTGTCAACAAGTTGTAACAATGTTGTTGTTTTATCAAGTTGGTACAAGGTTTTCACTCACAACTTGTTAACAAATTGTCGCAGGACGATAGCTAGTTATTGGAACAACTTGTAACAAGTCTGTTGAGCTCAACTGCCTTGTAGCAAGTTGTCAACAACCCTTTGACAACTTGTCAACAACCTGGGAACAAGCAGTGCCAACACATCCTGTTGACAAGTCGTTGGAACAGCATTGCTCCAATCTGCTGCAGGTTTGTTACACCTTGTGCGTTTTTACATAACCTAACGTCTATCCCTTTATTTCTTCTTCAGCACCGAGCCCAGATGGCTACCAAAAAGTCACACGTTGCACCGATTACGGTCTACACGAATGGCAACAAGTACGACGAGAAACGTTTCGTTTTCAACCCGAAATACGTGCGCACGTTTGATGCGTTTTTAGATCAAATCACCATGGAAACGAAGGCGACGTGCGCCGTGCGCAAAATCTACACCCCCCACGGTTCGCGTCAGGTTGGGGCGCTCTCAAACATAGAACCTGGGGGACGGTACGTCGCAGTGTCGAGGGGGAACTTTAAGAAAATACAGTACGGTCAAAAAATCGATATGGGCCTATCGTCTTCTGGGACAACCACTACTACTAAAACGTCCAAAAAACATAAAACCAGCAGCCGCTTGCAAAAATCTTACGAAGACCAAATGAAGACGCAAAAAACTATATACGTGCACAGAAATGGTTTTAACGAACGGCCGACTCAAATTTTCTTCACAAAAAGGCTGCTTCGTAGTTTGGGTCAGGTATTAGATTTGGTTCAGGACAAAATAACCTGCGATCGGGCTATAATAAGCCTGCATAAACTGAACGGAGTTACAATTAATGATGTGAAAAAACTTCAACCCGACGGACGGTACGTTGCTCTCGAACAAGGGCAAAGATTTCGACATTGTACTTATGATTATGTAGAGGCCGGGGAAACGTCACCTCGGCGAGTTAAGCTCCCGGCTATAAAGCCCCAGCGTGTGGCGCAAAGGTCCCGGCATCCGAGTAATGAGAGTGGCCAAGAATTGGGTTCGACATCAAAACCGAAAATCAAGTTGCCCGTTATAAAACAGACAACTAATGATCCAGGATTTCATGTTGTTTATGGATATGCAGACAAACACGGAAACGAACTCCAGAACACGCGAAGTCATCACGCGGGAGGTAGCACGTATAGGAGCACGCAAAGAAACCAGCACGGAGGACCGTTTCACGCGAGTGGTGCGCAAAAGGAATTGGCGATCGCAATTCGCGACGATAAGCGTGTTCGTGTTGAAAAACCACTGGACATGATGCCCGCAGACGAAGTTGAGGAACGACTTGATGACATGGATAACCATGGCAACGAGAAGCCTGGCCAATTAGAACGCAGGGTTAAACCAATCGCAAGAAGCAAAGAAACAGCTCAGCCAATCAAAACCGAGAAACGAAGCAAAGATAATGAAACGCTTCCCAAAATAAACAAAGTTTCCAAACCCCCACTCAAGAACACTTCATTTCCTACCAAACCAAGTATCGCCCATCCTCGAAAACATACACATGCGCAGAAAGATCAGGTGACCGTACCCAAAAGCATGGTCAAGGATCAGAATTTTGTTTCGCAAGAAAACAGCATGGCTACAACGAAACGTTATACCGTAACACGTGAAAAGCGCCTGTTCGGCATGCACGGACGGGATGGACGTGAGCAAGCTAAAGGGGTTGTTCACGTGTACGAAATGGGCGCGAGAATAAAGGGCCTGGAACGAGACAAGGGAAACGTTGAGAAGCGCAAACGCATCGAGGACTGGGTCGACCAGACTGTGGAAGTCAAACAACGAGAAGACGAGATTGCGTCTGTTGCCAAGCAACTGGTGACGATAGCACTTGTCAACGCGGAAAAATCATTTGTCAGAGAGAAGAAAAACAACGGAAACTCATCGAATTTAAACAATGTTCAAAATAACAAACAAAATAAGCCAGGCTTTTACGAGGCTGGTAAGAACGAAACGAAATATCACAGAGTATTTGGACAATAGACAGTCCCAAATCAACCATATGTAACGAGGGGTGCGGAAGTAGCGTCAGAGCAGCTTCACGAAGGAACGACACGTCACACAAAAAAATGAAAAGTTCTAGACGATAAATGGTAGCTTTTCCGACCAAAGATAATTCGCATTTTTTTAACTTCTAAGACTGCC